CGGCTTAGACGTCTTTGAAGATGAGGGGTAAAATTAAGACAAACATTACCGGTCCGGCTGTTGGACCGGGAAAACAATAGGACCCGTAAGATAAAAAACGGCTTTCAAATTTTAATCAAACAGTTTTTAGGCGGCCAGCACAATTACCGGACCTTAACCTCATTCCAAATAATGTGAAAATATCAAACAATACTATCGATCAAATTTAACTAGAATTACTTTCTGCAGACTAAAAACGAAGTTATGTAAACACCAGATGATAGTTGGGAAAAACATGTTCTAAATAAGCGGACGGCCCTTCGACATATGAATCTAACACAAATAAAAAACAACCCATCGTTATTATAAGCAGTTTATTAACTAACTCGAAATACATAAATCCCTAAAAAAGGTAAAATAGTAACCAAAGTACTTGAAATAATTGACTAAAAGTCTCGTGAACATGTAAATTTTACTGCCCTAAAAATTAAAAGGAGTTGACTAATTTTCTTTGTGAAAAAAATACAAAATTGGGTTTTTTGATTGCGTTGCATGATACTAGAGACCAAAATATATGAACGAAGCCAACATGCCTCGTATACATGTCATTGGTTTAGGCGATACAGGCCAAAGCTACAATTTTATTCTGAATTTTCTCAGTAATTAAGAAACGCTTTAAAGTATAGCAATAAAGTATAACAATAAAAATTAGCAAACGGTAGTTCTATTGCCGCATTGGAATGAACTTGACAATGTCGTATTTCATTTTAATGGCGTCCCCCGTTCATAGTTTCATTTTTAGATTCCACTGAAATTCTGTTCTCATTTTCAGCCATCTGCATTACGATAGAAAGTTAAAACTGCCTGAAGTTTACTCTATTAATGTGGGAATATATCTTTGAATTAAAATGAATTTATATTTTATTTGAGTATAAGGAAACTTGAAAATATTTTGGTTAATTTGCTACACAGAATTCGCAAATAAAATAATATACACAACTCGTGTTTCACGAACTACTTTAAAAAATCATAATTATAAAAAACTCTAATAAACGGGCTGGTGACACCTTATTACAGAATTTGTAGAAATATTCAAAAGAAGACAAGCGTATATTGAATATATGCGAGAAGTCATAGATATTTGTCAATTTCCCCGCAATTGCTTGATGTTTGCGGTTGATTTTGTTATAGAAGGGAATCTACTTAAGTGGCCTATATTGTTATTTTAAAAATGAATAAATAAATGCTGAACATTCCTTATATAAATTATAAATGAAACGTTTTTCAATTGCAAAAATGCTTTACGCATATTAATTTTCCAAGAAGATGATGGTGACATATGATAAAGCATGGTAAATCGTGATTAATTAAGTGATTAACACCAAAGTTACTTAAATTTGTTTAATTTGTAAATATTGAACATGTACTGGAAAATATCCAGATGGACAAAAATCAACAAGAAATTGTGATATTATATTCTGCATACGCATGTGATCATTTTTTGTATTGAAATAACAATAACAATAAGAAAAAAGATTAAGTTAGGAGTCTTAAAAGTGTCAAATATCGTTTTTCAAAATTACATGAATCCGCATGCATATAAAAATGGCAACACTGTATGTATGAAAACATTTTGTAGCATGCTCGCTTACGTTACTAAATTTTAAGTAAGGCCTTTGGTCCCCCAGTTAGGTAGCTCAACAAACTTTATCAAAAACATTGTGGCATTTGCTGAAAAATATACTGACGTACAAAAACAGTGTTAAACGAATAATAGCAAAACTAAAAAAAATAGAGCCGCTACGCAAGTAATACAAAAAATCTCATTTTTAAATATTTATTTTTAAGTATAAGACATTAGAATGCGAATAGAACGTGAAAAGACCTTTAGAACGAGGTATCACATAACCCCTCTTACCATTAAAAAAAATACTTAAAATTGCTTTCTGAAGTCAATTGTATGCCAAAAATTATACATAATTATTATATACAATATGCAATATTCAAAATTAAAAAACAAATGATTCCCGCAAATTGGACGAAATGCGGCGTTAATGCTAGCACAGTAGCGAAATCAAAAGGTAGAGAGCGATTCCGCAATAAATATTGCCGTCATAGTTAATCCGACTCCGCTCTCGAATCGGACGTTTTTAACGAATCGGATAAATTTTAAAGCGCGTTTCAAGTGGCGTTGATTTTGCAAAATGGTGGAACGTTTTTAAATAATAATGATGGCAACTATAGCACTGTGCAATGTTCGATGCATTTTTTAAGGACCACGGCCGCATTTCGATTTAGTAACAATGGACCATTTAGCGCAAAATTAAAATTCGAGAATGCGCGCCTCACTCGAGGTACAGAGTTCATTGTCAGTCAATTTATGGTATTATCATTTTATTACCTATCTAGTGCGTACTGAGAACGAATGAAATCCGGTTGGTGAGGAAGACTGAGGGCTACGACTTTTACGAGAGAGAAATTGTGGTCGACCAAGAAAGAGGTAGACGGATGCTCTGCATTAAACAGGTCCTAGACCTATTAATAAGAGTTCATTGTCAGTCAATTTATGGCATTGTATAGTATATATTTAAATTTCAAAATACCATTTATTTATAATATATTTATAAAGGAAAGTTAACTAGAGACATATTGTATTATCTAAAAATGAATTAATTCAAAGGAACACCTTTTGGATGATGTTTTTGAAGCTACGCAGTTTACTACAAACACAGGTTGGACCCAGGAGTCATTACGTGATCAGGAAGATTAATTTAAGTGCTCCCTCGAATTGGAAACATCCTGTAGTTAATAGGGTTATTTCTTGTTAACCGCTTCTATGTACCTCTGTATTTAAATCGATAATAAATAATAATAATAATCAATTAATAAGAAATAATAAATTGAGGATACGCCAATGCCTTTATAGATGATTGTCGTAGCCTTTAATATCCTGGACGGGTAATAAATAAATGCATCAATTTTTTACAATATTTTAAAATTGAATTTATTTTTAAAAGTAGCAAATTGTAATAAAGAAAAATACTTGACATACAAATATTTTTTCTTTACATATATTATTCTATTACCTTTTCGTTAGTCACAAAGTTTGGTGTCTAGAAGTCCAAACGTAAAAAAAATATTTTTTAGGGATCACGTCAATAGTTAAAAACGATGTTTGCTATCTTGTACGAGCATAGTATAGCATAGAAAACATTATTGATTCCGAAAATGCTGACCAATAACTGTACAAAGCGCACAATATTTTTGTTAGTCTAGGTAATCAATACCTAGTAAATAATTAGTTTTTTTTGTAGATACGGTTAGGTACATTACAAATATCATATTTTATGTTTAATTTAAACTAATCAAAACTATATAACAAAACATGTATATAATAATTATTTATTAACATGTAGGTAATGCCTGAAGTGCAACTTTGAAAAAATAATTAATATATCTAAAATCACTTTCAAAACTTAAGTTCAGTTAAAACCTAACATTTCTTTTTGTATTTACCGGTTAGATTATTATACAATTACCAATACCTGTCTGCTACCTTACGTTTCCTTTTTACAAACCCATATTTGCCATAAACGGTTAATGAGTCTGCGTGTTCCCATATACTGTAAATAAAACTATAATAAAGTTTAGCTTTCGATATGGATCTGGCACATTGTGACAAATAGAAAAGCAGGATATCTTAAAGAAAAATGGAAATACAGAAATCTACAAACATCGGTGCATAACATAGACCACAACCAAAGGGAAATAATTCCATAGTTCTCAATTAAGCAATTATTTTTATTTTGGGCGATGCCTTTTATTAATCCTTTCAGGCAAAATAATAAAGTGAAAAAGCGGAAAGGGAGCGTATAAGCACGTCAAGTTTCTTTATAGGTAGAATCTTCCTCGCCGTATTCATTGGTCAAAAACATCCAAAAACACTCTCGCTGTGCCGTTAGATGCTGAGACCATACAAATGAGGTCGTTCTCTTTTCAAATAGGATAACAGTCAAGGCAAACGCTCGAAAAGTAGGTACTCGGTAAAACTGAGTCTGATTGTGCGGTTACAGAAAATCCGAGTTCCCATTTTACAGAAAAGAAATAAGGTGAATACAACAAAAGTCCACTTTTTCCGTAGGAAAGCATTTTTCTAATTTTTACATTTAAAAATACACTTTTCACAACACGTGGAAAATTACATTTCACAACTATATTTCCCCTCTGATTAATCAGAAACAATTGCAGTTAAAGCAGATTGACCCGCTTTCTCGATACGGTGCTCTTATAAACCTTCTCCTTTATAAAACTGGCATAAATATAAATTTCCACTTTTATAAAAATTATTCTGACGAACTTGGACAATAAACAAGGTTTGTTTCCTAACCAGCTAAGAGAAAGCTAGATTTTTAAATAATAGTTATAGAAGGAACATTCTATATTTAGAAGTTGAATAATTAAAATAACAATAATAATAAAAAAAATTATCATATCAAAATTTGAAAAAATTATTGTGTGAAACACGTCGGGAAATCTTAGTTTTCCTAACTAGTTTTACAATTAACTAATTTTATTTTATAATCAGCAAACGGAGTCTAATTTGATAAATTTGCATTGCTTGCAGAACTCTGTAAGCAAGGCAAGATTCAACCAACACCTGCCTTACCGTTGTTTTTTATTATGTTTTTTGCATATCATATTTGCTATATCAATCTATCTATATCCATATCACCGTCTCTTTCCTTTCATAGAGAAACCCAAGAAGACCCAAACCGCATAAAAGAAGTTATTTATCTCAATTTTATTTTAATTGGTTTACTTAGTTTGTACTTAGTATTGTACTAAATAATAAGAAAATTTTGGACATTTCAAAATTTGAATTCAACTAATAAAAAACTGCAATTAAGTACTCATTCATCATTTTCCCTTAACCTTCCTAAAAAATAAAACAAAACTACAGTCGTTAATCTTAAATATTCCGCAACAGAATTGCTGACAAAGTACGAAAAAAAAACACTCACATTTTCGGCTCGACCTCGACCTTGACTTTTTCTTTCGCACCTCCTTCCGATCCTGTATCAGCCCCATGACAAGGAGCTTCTCGATAATTCTATTTTTAGGTCTCGGGACCTCCAATCTTTGCATAACGCTTTCCAAAGGATCTGAAAGCAAATGTCTTTTTTATAGACGCATTTAACAATGCGCTTTATCTTCAAAATTACTCAACGAATACTCGTAATTTGTGATTCGGACGATAATTAACAATTTATAAGTTTCCTCGGCTTAAGTGTAAGAACAGCACTTCATCACTTTTGGCAATTTTTCCTTTGTTTATGTTATTTTGCGTCTAGGATAATTTTATTTTTTAATTCCGTGTCTTTTTCATTTTGAAATTATTTCTTTTCTGTTGACCAATAAAAACCATTTACCTTAAAATCTCAAACCATCAAAAAGCTTAAATCATTCGAGATGTCGCATACCAATGATGAAGATCTGAGACGTATTGGATATCAACAAAAGCTTTTTACCATTATTAAAACAAGCAAAAATAACAAATCCTGGAGACGAAAAATACGAGAATAGACAAACATGAGGGTGGGTTCCATGTGGCAGGGGACCAATATGCATTTAGAAATGTGGTCGTTAAACTTTAACGTGAAGATGGCATGGACAAGATACAAATTTCACAGTTTTGCAAAAAAAAATAACGTCGATACTGAAAATGTTGCACGAACCATCGAAATCTTTAAATTCTTCATACAACTTGCGCAACAATGACTCTTCTACCGCCGTCCAGGTCGCGGAAGGTCTGGTACTTCCACTCTTCCTCCTTCCTTTATAAGCCGTTAATAAACACATTTCTTTTAATTTCTTCAAGACGCCTCTTCTAGTACGGTTCGTGTTGATTAGGTTGTCCACAATCCAGTCGACAACGTCTGAAAGAAAATATTATTATATTGCGATGCAAAACGTTACAATATTACTAAAATATCGAAAATTGTATAGCACAAAATAGTGCTTAGTTCCACATTCCGAAAGTTCGTTCCTGCGACATGAAAATCGATAACGAAATAAGCAAGCCGAGAAATTCAATGGAAAATGGTGTCTGTTAAATTAAACGAAAAGGATTAGAGGTTGGGCTATACAGGGTGTCTCGCTATTGGGATCTCAAGAAATATGAAGTCGGTTAAACGGCGGTAATGTGGGACATTAGTCTATTTCTTTCGTATTATTATTGTTATTTTTCCGATCTTCGCCCAAAGGTAACCATAATTTTTATCAAAATTCGGTATTGAGTCCTCAGAAAAGCGAATTTGTGAAAAACCTTACATCGCTTGCCCAAGATGAGATTAAAAAATGTTGAGTTGTAATGACACTTTAATCACGAGTTTGTTTTGGCACGACCGGAGCGAGTGTTTAACAGTGTAAAAAATGGTTTCCAAATAGAGTTTTTTTTTAGAATATCCCCAAACATTTGAAATTTTTGTGAAATTATTCAACTTCAACTTATTCAACATTTGGAAATTAGTAGTTCTTATATCCACGTTAAAAAGCTGTCAAAAAATGAAAAGCTCATTAGTAGTTTTTTTCAGTCTTAGTACTTATATATAGTATACTATATTTAAAAACTGATTTTTTTGTTTTATTAATAAAATAATTTCAACGAAATTATATTAATTTCATGCATTCGTTGGTAAGATGCAGGAGAGTCGGGATATTTCCCAATTCATTGGTTTTGTGGATTTTTGTTAAACTGATGAAAATTAAATTTTAATTCTCTTGGGAATACAGTTTTGATCCTTGAAAATACTGTTATCAAGTAAGGCATAAAATATTGAAAAATGGAAATTCTAATACCTTCTCCATTGTTGGTTTGTTGATGTTCCATGAAGAGTCTGCGTAGTTCGTCTTCTTGTTCTTCGGACCACGCCCTTTCTGATGCTGTAGATCTAAAACAACCAAATTGTGTTGACAAATTGATGCAAAAACAAATCAAGAAAACTTCCATCACGATAAGGAAGGAATTGTTAGCTGGAGGTCAAATTGGATACTAAGTGAAAGTTTTAAATTCGAAAATTTAATCCTTTCAAATTAATCTTGAAAAAAATGTACGTTTGTTTGGTGAATGAAGAAGGGTACAGCGATGGCAACAATTAGCTATAACTTTTATAGAAAAGTAAAATTTGGAAAGTAGTTTTGAGCTGTATGGAGTGTATTTTCAACATGCCATTTATTTATCCAATTATGATGTTTATGAGAAAGCAAATCTAGAATTCTAAATCCTAGTTAAAGATTCCTGAACAGAATAATAAAATTAAAATATTTGAGTTATTTCTTGCTTTATACATCAATATAAATGTGATCTCGCCATTGGGAAAGTTCCTTCTTCCGCTTTGTTTAGAAGGTTAGTCATTTGAATTGCTTTCAGTATATCACGCCAGATCATTTTTGTCATAGTGGCTCTATTTCAGTTCTTTAAGAGGGAAGACCTTCTTGATAACTCATTATCAAGTTGGTACTTTCAGTGCTACGTCGCCATCCGAAAATCTGTTATGTCAACTCTCTCCAGTCAAGTTGTTCAGTATAAATATTATGTAAGTACTGTATCTAACCCGGTACATCGCCCGGAAGAGTATGAAAACGGTCTGGATGGAATCAGAAATCCAGAAATCAGAAACAACTAAAATCCCAATAACTATATTAACAGTATATTACGCATTGCCAGCCCGAATAGCGAATTTTCCCGATCGGAATCGAAATTTAAAACGGAAATTATAACGAAAAAAACCTCAAAACAGGGCCGAAGAGGAACGTCTGGGATCGACGTACGTTATAAAAACGTAACATCCGGGATATATATTACAGAAAATCGTCTTTTTTACCTACCAAGTATAAAAAAGTAGGTCTTTTTGGCAATGTTGAAGAACTTTATCGGTGACAAAGTTTCGAAGAAAGATTTACGCTACGGGGGATTATAAACGTCTTTTCAGCCACTGTTCTTTTGTTTCACTTTTCAGCCGTAACTGAATAAAGCCAACACAGTTATTTCAATTTACGACGTGTTCAAAACACTTACTTATGCAAATCTTCGGCGTAGTTCGTCTCGATCTGATGGCAATCCTGGCTGGTTTTCCAAAACAACGCCTCCATGAACACTTTCTTGTTAGTTTCTGAAACCTTTATGAACTGGCGAATGATGTACGTAGCAAATTTCGTAAGTTCCTGTAATCAAGAAGAAAGTCCCATGTATAGAATGAGCCAAATTCGACACTTTTGAATGGAAACTTTCCTTTCTCGAAGAGGTAGGAGAAAACTGATGTCGATGCCTGAGGTTCAAATTTCATAAAAACAATAAGGGCACATTGATGTATGTTACCGCTTCAGAGATATGTGATGTTTTTCGGAAAAAAGAGTCTAATAGATAGTATGTGGAATACCCTGTATATATTTAAATGATTGGAAACAAGTTAAAATTGCCTTTCCAAAAAACTTTACACTTTCGCCAACTAGGTTTTGAACAGAGAATAGTGATTTAAAGGGCTAAAAACCTTAACATGGAAATTTAAAGCAAAGTCCGTCAAAATGGCTTATAATACCCCAAAATTTAAAATTTATATTTTAATTTATGTTCCATTTCTTACCATTAACATGGAATTTAAGAAATTCCAACAAGGCAAGTGCTGCAAGTGTTCTATGCGACTGTGAAAATTACGATTTTTAATATTATTAGCTATAGTGAATGATGAAAAGTTGAGTTCAAGCGCAGGTATGACTGGCACTTCAAAACTGGCGAATTTAAAAATCCTACTCCAAGAAAATAGCGGGCCAGTCAGAATAATTCTCTCGATTATGCATATGATGAAGGTTTTAAGAGTTTACTAGGACAAATTGTACCGGGTGGTCATTTATAGTGTCCCCCACCCCTTTAACTTGATTATTTAAAGTCTAGAAAAAAAACGTCGAATGCAAAAGTTTTTAAAAAAATAGTAGGCTAGTTGCAAGAAATATTTTTATGTACAGAAATCACCTATAGGAAAAAGTTATATATTTTTTTTAATGGAAAAATTCGGCACATTTTTTGTAAAATATGTCCCATACCCAAATCCAATAGTTTTTGAGATATATGCGCTTTTAACATAAAAGCAACATAAAATATAATTCTAGAAATTATAATTTACATCTTAGGTGGCGGTGAAGTAGGTCGTTACTAGAAAACAAAATGATTGTTTATAACTGACAGTGACAGTTACAGATTTAGCAAAACCATGCTCCTTTTATCATATATAAAATGTCTCATTCGCAAAGAGAAAATTAATTTTGGAAATGTTTATTAAACTAAATAAAAGGACTAAATTGGTTCAAACTACGTGTAATTAATCCCCGATTGCACGTTTTAGACAAAAAAAAACTAACCTAAAGTTTCATCCAATCTATGAAAAATTTCAACAAACATACAGCCTAGCCAAAAGAAGAGAACATTTCTTATAATATTATATCCTAATACCTATTTATATCCTAATACCTGTATCATCAAAACAAATTGGATAGTTTTCGAAATATTTGTTAATTTAAACGGCACATTAAAAAATATTTTAGGTAGGTATAATATGGTATGTAGCAAATTAGTGATACAATTGTTGAATTCTTGAACTGATCTCCATTTTCTTCAATACATCTGATATGTTCTCTCTGTTTTAGTTGATATTTGGGCTTAAGGAATGTTAGGTGGCCATTTTATTGTTCCATTTTTCCAATTCATTCATTAATCCTTTAATCCTTTGATTTAATTATTAATTGATTAATTAATTTATAGATACTGTAATATTGTAATATATGATTTGAAGTAAATTATGCATAAGTTTAAATATTCAAAACAATAAGTCTCGTATTTGCTTATGCTTTGACGAATGCACTCTACCAGTACTCCGCGCTTCGTATATTTCTCTTTTATAAAGTTCATCTAACGTTACATCTGGCCTGTCATTTTGGCATCTAACTTTCGTGTTGACATCGGAGGATTAATTTCAACCACTCCAAAAACAATAATTTTTTGTAACTCCCTATTTGACGTATAGTTTTTTAGTCTCAAACTAACCAGTTTTAACTGGGTTCTGTCGCAATCTTCCAATAGTATTAGGGTGATACAACTCAATTTGAAAAATTAAATTAAAATCCCAGCCATTAATGTAATTTTAATTGCGTTTACGAAATTCATTAAGGCGATTAATGCGTTTTGAATAGGTTTATTTACAGTATTTAACAAAATTTATCATTTTTATACGTCACTTTAACTATACAATACTTTACCAGCATTCACCGTTGTGTCTCGACCTGAGAATTGGCACATATTACTCATATTACTCATTATATGAGAATGTTAAGTGCTGAAATTCTGAAACAGGAGCAAATACGTATATGATACACCATTATGCTTTTTATGAAAATTGATGCCAAGATATCAGTTTTGGTCTCTTTTAGAAAAGCGAGCTTCCCTTTAAAAGTATGAAATTTGGCTCACACTTTACATTTAAAAGTATGTTTTACTCTCATCAAATGAAATCATAGGTATGCTATCTAAAGAAAAAGCAACAAATAATTTTCAAATATATAGTAAGTGTAATCAATGTAGCCACCCGGTATTCACATTGCATTTTAACCTTACCAATTTTAGGACCTTCGCTTCACTTACCTTATTTTGAGGCGCATCTTTCATGGAAAATATCCTCTGGAACGTTCTAAAGATGCTCAGTTGAAAAATCATGACGTACATCTTGCAATCGAAAGCTATCCGATGCAGCAGCTTCACTATGCACATGTTGGTATGTACCGTGTTGTTGTCGAATTGTCTAAGAGCTATCCCGCATGCACGAACGATCTTTGGATTTGGTAGTCTGGGGAAACGATCGTTCTTAATTTCGATAAAAACTAATTAAATTGGGACACGCAAAAGAAATATTCGCACGTCACAGTGGAGGATAGTAGAAATTTATTCACTAATACCAATATTACAAATGAAAGTTCACTCATAAAAAATGGAATTATGCCTAAATATTTTTAAAAATCATAAATATACAAATATTACAAACAAATAAAAAATTGAGCATTATCTCGGATGACTGATTGCCATATTGGTGAAAGGTAAAGGACCTGAGTCGCGGTTAAGATTGTTTGCTTAGTTAGTCTCATTGATTGCTTATAAATTTCGCATTTTTCGTTGGTAGATGAATTGACTACATGTAAGAATTTTAGTTTCATCGAATAAAATTTGATGTCGGGTTTCGTTGTTATGATCGGCAAATGCTAATGAGTGTATTTGTCGTAGTCTAAAGACTCTTTCGTGTTCTTTGAACCTAGTTGGTATTTTTTGACCAATGATTGTTTGCCACATTTGCATGGAATGCTGTAAACTCTTAAAATAAAAAAAAAATCTCATAGAATCCAGAATTAAAACAGCTTACAATTATTCTTCCCTCTAATAATTGCCACATTAGAGATATTAAGGAATCTATCACAACATTCCAAGGAGAATGAATCCGTCAAAAACAAAATTCCGTTTGAGTAACAAGAGTTTACAGCATTTCATGCATATGCGGCAAAAAATACATTAGAGAGACCGGACGGAAAATATTAACCAGCTTCAAGAACATGAAAGAGCCTTAGGATTACGACAAATAAACTCATCAGCAGTTGCCGAACACGATTACGAAGTCCGACAAATTTTATTCGATAAAACTAAAATTTTTGCATGTAATCAATTATTCTACCACCGAAAAATGCGTGAATCTATAGAAATCTATGAGTAACCAAAACGTCTTAACCGCGACTCAGTCTTTACCTATCACCAATATGGGAATCAGTCGTCCGAGAAAAGACCTCTTTTTTAGCTCCGCCCCATCAAACTATATATAAGCAGAAACAGAGTAGAATGCAAGGCAGTTTCACTTAAGCACTGAAGAAGCCAACATGATGATTGGCGAAACGTCAGCAAGATCGATTCATCAACAACCGACGTAGGAGGAATGCAGAAGATTTGTAATGTGTTTAATAACAAAAAAATACAATTTATTTGATCCGGGATAATTGCAAGAAGAAATTCTTGAAATCGTTGATTATACCCATATTTTTAGGCCATTAACTAAAGTGTAACAATAAATTTGTCAACAATAAACACGGAACGTGTTTACGCCACTTGCTTCTGTCAAAATAGAAAAGCTTTTATATCGTTCACCATTAAAGGACTACAAAAATTTATCAATTACATACCTCTTCGTAAAATCTTCAAATTTGAAGGTGCCCTCGTTAGAGTGGGGTTCGTCATTCTCTTCCTCATTTTCTGTGTCTGTAACAAACATTAGAGAAAATCCAACAAATATCAACCATTGCTCAAGGGGTATTCAAATAAAGTCACTTCTTCATTTCAATAATCCAAAAATAATGATTGGCTAACAAAGTCATTCTAGATTTGAAGAACGTATCATGTTCCTCCATTCTTGTGTTCTAGCTATTCAGGAATATATGTATCCTGGAGCCTTGTTGTTTCTTTGGTGTAAGATAAGACAAGTGTTTGCTTCTCATGGAACATTTACCATACCTTTATTGGCATTCTACGCCTCAGTGCAACCTTATGATCTTTATTTTTCTATATTGTTAAGACATGAAGCACTACTTCAACTTTATTAATAGCAACTTTATTAATAGCAAAATTATTATTTCGCAAATTTCACCATAGGAGGAGCATTTTGTTTTGTCTGTTGGAATAAATGAACGAAAGGTTATACAAGTATTGAAAAATAAGTGTTACGCGAATAAGAAGATAAATTCCCCATCTATAGTGTAATTCAATTATCCAAAATAAGCGACTAGTAGAAAGAAAACAAAAATTAGCATGTCGAGAAAGGCAACATACAAATGAGAACTTGTAGTTAACTAACTCAATTCATTTATAATATATACACTAGTCAAAAATGTCGATTCTATTACATCGATTCTAGTGGCAAAAAAGAGGGCTATCAACCCCAATTGCCGCTGTCTAAAGCTTCCATGATGAATGGACTATATATATATATATATATATATATATATATATATATATATATATATATATATATATATATATAGATATATATTGTAATTTATATTGGTTTATAGGTTTGCATGTCGTTGAACTTGTCTTTTCATGTTCCACGTTAAAACGTAATATCACAGTGGTTGCTATTTAGTTAAAAAAAAAGGAAATTTACAAAACGTGAAATGTGGCAATATGGTAGCAAGTTAATGTGGTATATAAAAAAACTGATTTCCTTTGTGTCAAAAAATAAACATAAACGCCTCTGGCTAGGAAATGTCGCGTCACAGACCCCCACTATAATATATTGATCAAATCGACTTGGAATGCACTCTCCGAATGCGTATCAATAAATGAGGCTTCCACTCAAAATAAGAAAGTTGGTATAAGTCTGAGTCAAAACAGGTCAGATCGGACAGTGGATCATTTTACCTCACCTTACCTTATTACCAAAACAATATTTCAGGAACCTCTAAAGTAAGTTATCGTCATTTGGAGGACTGCAGTAATCAAAATCGCATACAATCCAAAATCTAAATTACGTACAAGCCATCCGCATCGCTTCCGTTATGCCGAATTGTGAGACTACTTCCACGGAAATCGCGCGAGCTTCCTTTGACAAAACCGACCCTTTGTGTAATATTTTGCCAACAGATTTACTACAGCCAGTTTCCAAAATTCGGGACAAAGAAGCAAGACGGGTTTGCGAAATTAACGAAAGTTCCAGAAAATAGTTTATCGAGTCTTATGAATACGACGGCAAAAGCATTTAGAAGATATTAGCAATGTCTGGCTCGCCTGCGTCGTAATGGTGAGATATACGTGGTACAGTTTAAGGAAGTGAAATTTCACTGTTGCGAATAAACCACCCATGAAATTAAGTACTTATAATCGATTTTCGATAAGCGAACACAATACAACGGTGCAACATTCGCACTTTCGAAAGTCTGTTGCAGCTCTTTATCTCGTTTCATGCAAAATTCTTTAAGCAATCCAGCAATAAGGACTGCGACAGTTTACAGTTATTTACGATAGAAAATAAATAGGTGTCTGCAATTTTACGAGATCTTTAAAACTAAAATTATTTATTTCGCAAATGGAGGTTGTGTGCTGTTTCAAAAATGGCCGCCAGGGGGTGCAATCGAATTCTTGAATTTTAGATCTTGGAATCAAGCATGCATAATTTGTGTGTGTGTTTTATTAATTATACTGCTCCTGCATGCGCAAAATAGAATCCGAATGTTTCTAATCTAGGTTCTTCCCAAGGTTAAGTAAAGCGAGTTTAAAATATTTAGCCACCAATAGACGATTTGACGATAGACGAAATACATGCAATGCTTCTATGTTCATAATACTGGTACACAGATATTGAAAAAAAGAAGAGATATGACGGCCAACAATCTTCCTAGTGCACGAACTAGTTATTATTTATATGAATCCTATATTCAACATTTTCGTTGTTATTGTTGTTGCTGTCTGTTCCCCAGTCTATCATATACCAGAATCTCTAGCATCAGAGGCTTCAGAGAAATATCAATATAATTATCAAAAATCTCAGTAGACAAATTAGAAGTCAGTTATTAATAGTAAACTTTTACACATTCAGAAGCAGAGACCCTGAAGTGATAGCATATGTTTGAAACTAACTTGCAGACCACCAGATGTGCTTACCTTCGTCCGCTGATTGCTGATCAGTCTCACGAGCTATTTCGTTTTCTGAAATAAAAAAATGTATATAGAACAAAGTAACAACCGGCACTAACTAATGATTTACTATTTTTCATCTTCGTATAGTTTTTACGATCCCACGTGTTATTTGGGAAGCTATTTTTAATTCTTGGATCTGATTATATTAAAATTAGAAAATATTTTTCAAATAATATGCAGAAATTTTTCGAAATAGATTAGCAATCAAGAAGGTCATATTTGATTTTCGATTATTGGTGGTGTTCTTTTCGTTACGTTTGTAGGCTGTGTGTTCCTCTTCGTCCCATTCGCTAACAATTATTAGGCAATAAGCAAAACTCACGAATTGGGTCATTAAAAGAAAAAAAATCTTTTCAATGCATTCTTTTTTGTTACTGTCACTTACGTTTTCCCCGTTTTTACGCGCTACATTTGATTTTTTCTGTGACAGCAATTCAAAAGCATTTTTCGTTCGTTCGTTTAACAAGGACTGCTCTTTATCTGCCGTTGCCCTTTTTCCGCTAATTCAGGACCGAAATTTGGAGCACTTGGACATTTTCGCAAGGCGTTTAATTTAGCTTTTAAAATATGAAATTCGAGAGAATGAGAAAGTTATTCAACTTATCTTTCAATCTACCGCTGACTTATATTGATAATGTAGTACTCGTTCAAACTTTGCTAGTAGCGTCTAGTCGTGTAATAACAGCTGTGAATAAGCAATCAATTTTTCGGAAACAATTTCTTGTGTCGACTATCATCCGATATAATCTCAAATATATGAAGCCAAAAGTCTTCTTTCATATTCTTTCCAATTAAAACCAAGAGCATACGTATAAATAACACTTTCATTCCACATCATCTCAAACTTACTAAGAACAAAACTCTCATTAAGTCTACATTTCAATTTTTTTGAACTAAAATTAAAACTCTACGAAAGAGACATATACTCGTATAAAACTTGAGACATTCGTTCATCTCTCAAACAGAAAATAGCGACAAAGCCCTCTCAACGGATATTGTCCGAAAACCGGATTTAATTACCTAAATTCAAGAAGTAATCACGCCAAATGAAAAACAGTTTAAAACGTTTTGACACACAGCTAATAAATAGAAAGCTAGAATCTAGATTTGCTAATACTTTCAATCAAGTCCATGGAAACACTTAATTTAAATTTTTATAAAACGTACATATGTGTCTATTATAAACAACTCGTTAGTGAAGCTGGTGTTCTATTCAGTCCAGACTCCTCAAAGTTAATAGACACATTTGTGAAACAGGCATCTTATACATTCTATGCGAATGTCCTAACATCTCGTTTAGGCGGCAGGCTGACGAATCATATCGATCCCTTACGGTAATCATTAAGACGACTCTTGGGATTGCCATCGCCTATCTGGAGTCACTAAGCTTTATGTAAAGCTGAGTGCTCTGTCCAGGAGGAAGCATAATAGGACTGCTGAGGCCTAATTCCTGTAGTGCCGGCAACCCTCCATTAATGACAAGTACAGATAGATAGGCATTGAAATTTATTCCCAAATGTAGTTTAGAACCTTAAAATTCTCGGTCACATATCAATGATTTTCCACTAAAAGTCTAATCTGGACCTAGACCAGACATTGTATTCGAACACATTGTATTTGTAGAAACACGATTCTTGATCGCCAATAGTAAAAAATAATTATTCGTGTCAAACATAACATGAATTAATTGTGAAAACCGTGATACTGATTTAACAGTAACGAAAAACCGAGTAATACAGAATAGCATATTATGCAACAAGTGCGGTAAACGGCATTTGACTCACAAGTTTATTTGATACGAGCGGAGCGAGTTTTTAATAAACGAGTGAGTTAAAAAGTTTACCGAACGTGTTGCATACTATACTTTTTCTAAGACCGTTAGTTTTTGAATACATTTTCGCAAAATAACACGAATACATTCACTGATATGACCGTCAAAATTGACAAATGTCGCAATTCAAGGCGTGGGAAATATCGCCGAAAAACATCCGATTGCTCCCAAACCCGTGCGGTAAAATCCCGGAAATGCCCGAGGTCGCTCGGATCCGTTGGAAACGAAACGGACATGGTCGCTCGCTAAATCGGTGTGTAATTTGGTATTTTACAGACGGGAGTAGAAAATAGTATATTATGCAACAAGTGCGGTAAAAGGCATTTGACTCACGAGTTTATTTGACACAAGCGGAGCGTAGAGGAGCGAGTTATTAATAAACGAGTGAGTTAAAAAGTTTACCGAATGTGTTGCATACTATACTTTTCCTACGACCGATTCCTCCCAAATCCGTGCGGTAAAATCCTGGAAATGTCCGAAGTGGCTCGGATTCATGGGAAACGAAACTGACTTGGTAAAGTGACACTTCTCGCACGCTAGATCGGTGGGTAATTAGGTATTTTACAGACGGGAGTAAAAAAAAACAATTTTTAGTGTAGTAACTCATCCTCGATAAAAGCAACTATAATTAAAGTACTCAGAAAGTCTTCTACAACAAATATTTGAGGACGTTTGGATGGCAACTTCTCATTACTCCTGGCAGTTTGCAAAGAGGAATATTTTTTAGTTTATTTTGACGACGTCAGAAGCCTAGTGGCAGTGTGATGCCAGCTTTAGACAATACGCCAGCCAATATATCACAGTCGTCAACAACTAAGTATATGTCTCACTTTAAAATATGCGGTTCGCTTCTCACCAAACAAGGTGTGTGGCGAAGGATGTTATTTGGACTTTGTTCTTTTACAGGGCAAAAGGAACGAGTAATACTTTATTTGTATCTAACCTCAAATGAAAACATATACCCAACAACAAAAAACACCTAAAATACAAGTTTGTTGTGTCATTTTTTTGTTTCTTTCTTCGTTTTTGAAGAAAAAATAAGAGCTAAAAAATAAACGTAAAAATTTTCCACAAAAAAAAAACATATCAATATTGTGTTTTTAATTGTTTAATAAAAAAATTATAATTTCAAAAGTCAAAATTACTTTTTCCTTCATAATATGAATATGAATTTCACAATCACGGAACTTAATAATTCAAAACCAAAAGGGAGTTTTTAAGTAAAACTCATTTGAGACCAAGATTGTCCAGCGAAACCAGGGAAGCCCTTACCTTAAAAAACATACGATTTTAATATTATTCATGTATTCCAGACAGTTTTATTAAGAAAAAAACATATCCGAAAGTCCTGTGATCATTACTTATTAATATTATCTGGCCATTAAACACATATTTTTTTTTAATTATTGTACATGCGATAAACAGCAAAAATGCTGATACAATTATGAAGCCTTGAATATAAAGATTTATTACAACAAAGTTCAATAAAATCCATCAAAACACACTTTATCGCAACAAATTATGCCTAAATTTATGATCAGAAGGAATTTCTAAATCAAAAGGTACTACTTTTATTTGGATAGTGTAAGTTGTTTTCTCCTAAACAAACTGAAAGTAGTTTTTAGGCACTTACCTCAGCAATATAATTGGTAGCTTATAGGTAGAAATACAAAACATAGAATTAAACCTTGAAATATCGCCATTGACATTGCTCAAAAATATAACAATATGCAACAAGTGCGGTCAACGGCATTTTAGTCAGAACTTTGATTAATGCAGTTTAAAAATTTATCAAACTTCTTTCACACTATACATTTCTACGATCAACATGACATGACCATCAGAATTGACAAAAGTTAAAGAAGCAGATGAAGGGAACACAAAAACTTTTTTTTTCCAAAGCCTTGTATGTACACATGCACGCACAACAAAGCATTAACTCGAACTGTCCAAAAACTCCCTTAGTAGCTAAAACGGGTCAAAACGAAAACTTTTAAGACAGCGTCTGGACATTCGTAAGTCAGATGTGGCGACATTCCATTACAATTGTAGGAGTTTAACTAATACAGTCACTGAAAGCGTTCTGAAACAGCGGGCGAGTCCGTGAACGTATGAAAATATTTACTAGGTTTTCCCTCAAAATGTTCCCCTCCGACTTAACAAAGACAAACTTGGAACTGTGCTAATTCCATTATTCTATACATCAAGCAACCAGCCGAGTCAGAAGTTCTTCAGAGACGTAGTATTCCCAATGATTTTACCCTATATCATTCAAACAAATACAGCCCTGCGCTTTGGACGAACGAGTCTCGACGAAATTGGAATAATTTTGACGAATCACATTTACATTCCTCCTACTCCCGCGCCAGTCTCGGTCCGTGATTAAATTGTATTATTTTGGCTTTATGCCCGCATGAGTGGAGGTTACTAAATTAATTTAATTGCATTTTCTCCCTTAAGTCTTATCTTTGGCGTTTTCTTGACAATCTGAATTAGAGGGAAGGAGGCGGTCTAATCAGAAAACCAGAGAAACTCGTTTTGCGTTATACGAAACTTCCGCGCGCTGTTGTCACATTGTTTTCTGTGAAGAAGTTATGTGCAGCCAGCAGCAGTCACCAAAATTCGTAAGTCCTTGCATATTCTAATCAACAATGAATTAATCTATTTAGTGAGAAGCAATTTAGATTTGGAAAGAACAAAAACGTAATCCCTTTTAATACTATTAAATGTAATGGAAAAAAAATGCAGTAATAAAATGTTGACATCACATGCTACAAGACCATTACGATCGCAAGAACATCGGAGAGACAGAATTTTTTCTTATTTTTAAATAATGACTTGCGGTTAATCTAAATGCAAATCTTATGCTCATTGCGGAAGACCATTTCTGTTACACCTATTCTCCTCCTCGTTAGGTTCTTTTGACATGTAGAACATGCCCGAGCGATGGTTTTCGGAATAAACTAACGTTAAACAAGAGCAGAATCTTGAATCTATAGCAGCAATATCTTATATTATATTATTATTATATCTTATACTAAAAACGGTAGAGTGTGCAGGTTTTCATACAAATTTCTTATATTCCACATTAATAAGACACATGTATCAGATCTTCAAAAATTGCTTGGCTGCAGCGGAAGCTCAAATGGCTTGAGTAACCAAAAAAATTGTCGCCCAA